TGTGTTCTAGGAGATATGACACTCCAAAGTAGACCCTCGAAAAGGCTTCACTTGGAAATTTCGGATTTTGATACGGTTGCTCTAAAATTTGGGTTGGACCCATTTCCCACTCAATTTGACCCCCTAAACAAGAATATGAAGTCGGATTTTCGAAAAACGAAACGGATTTTGAGATATATGGAAATTACAATTATAGGTGTTTCCGAAGCACATTTTCGGGCATTTTTGGGGTCGTTTCAATATCTCCCCCTTGGGAACATTCGTCCCCGAATGTGGAAGAGACGTACAAGGCAAGACTTAGTAAGAACATATCAGCCCCAACATGAATGCAAATTTTTTTATTTAAACATCACTTCAAGATTTCAAAACTTAGTGTAAAGCATCCATAACTCATCAATTTAAACATGTATGCACATTAATGATTCAGAGGCTGAAATGTAAGACTCGATGGAGTACGAAGGACTTGATTTAATACCTTAGGCTTGAGTGGAGTTGAATAGATAAGGATAACGTCTTTGCATGTCCGCTTCGGCCTCCCAAGTAGCACTCTCCACTTGTTGATTTCTCCAAAGCACCTTAACGGACGCCACTTCTTTGTTCCTCAACCTTTTAACCTGTCTATCTAAGATCTGAACCGAGACTTCTTCATACGTCAAATTATCTTCTACAACACCCACAACCTCAAGAGGTACAATAGCGTTAGGATCACCAACACATTTCCTCAACATCGATACATGGAATACCGGATGAACTAATTCCATCTCCTTGGGCAACCCCAACTCATAGGCTACTTTACCAACCCTTCTTACTATCTCATATGGACCGACATTATCGCACTGTATGTGATTGTATTAGGCTCTACACCTTTTTCAACCATGTGTTTCATTATTTCCTCGGCATCTTTGATTTTTCCTTCTTTGCATAGTCCATCTATCATTGTGGTGAAGGTGCACACATCTGGATAAATGTTAAGGTTCACCATCTCAGAGAACAAAGTCTTAACCTTTTCCCACAGACCAAGCTTACACAAACCATCAATTAATGAACCATATGTGACTATGTCGAGAGGAATGCCTTTCTACTTCATCTCATTCAAAAGGTTGATAGCACCATCTAAGTTTCTATCTTTGCAAAGGGAATCTATAACGATGTTGTAGATATATATGTTGGGCTTAGTGCTCCCTTGTCCCATTAACCGAAGCATACTTAAAGTTTTTTTAGTATGACCCCTTTTACTGAGTCCATTCATGACGGTTGCATACATGAATTCATCGGGATCACAAATCTTGTCTCTCACCAATTTTTTGAACAATTGAACAACATCTTTAACCTTATTTTCAGCAAAGATTCCTCTTAATAGGGTGTTAAAGGTAACAATATTAAATGGAATGCCATTCTTCAAGTAAATAGGTAACACCGAAAATCCAAAATGAGCATGATCCATCAGGCAATAACTATTAATCACACTAGTTAAGATGAACCCATCAATTGGAATACCCAATATCTGCATTTCGCGAAAAAGAGAAACATCAGTCGAGTAAATGCTTCATACTTATCATATTGTTAAACAATTTAGAGAAGTCGACAAGAGAAGGAAGAGGCTTCATTCTAACCATTTGATGAAAAAGAGTAACAACATTATTAAAATTGATGCTTACCCCATGTTTACAAATGGATTTATTAGCACTGCCATAAATTCTTCTCATCTTCACCTGAATGAGAGAGAATTGCACACCGCAACGATTCCCCCCATTACCAACGATATGCCCTAATTTTGCCAGTCACTGTTTTTGGAGTCAATAAATAAGACTCATGTCACTTTTTCTCAATTTTGAAACTACTTCGTCACCCTTGATTATTTTTCCTATTTACAAATCATATACTTTTTTTTGGTTGAAAAGAGAAGTATTATTTATATTAGTTATGCATCCATACAAGCCAGGTGGCCAAAAGTAGTACTGCAACCTACATCTATATCTATATTAGTAGTAATACATTTATCCGACATAGAATTGTTAGTTTATTTACAACAAAAGGAATCCCCTTCTTATCTTCTTCTATCTTCTTCAAAACGTGTATTGCGCCATTGACATTTATCTTAGCTGTGAAGCCTGCTACCCAATTACCCAAACTGTCCCTTAAAACTCCCCCTGTTCCTCCACTTTTTGTTACGTAATCAAATGAGCCATCGATGTTGAGTTTTAGTCCTATCTCGGGGGTATCCATTTCCTTTTGATCTCCTTGTTTTCTCCTTTCTTTCCTATTTTATTACATCCCAGGTAATAATATTCCAATGCTTTATCCATTGGCATTTTCGTTGGGATATCAATACTCTTCTTGTTGTGGTAGTTGTGGTTTCTAGTTAGCCAAATATTCCACATGTAGAAAGGATAATGGAAATCCCATGTAAAATTAGAGATCCCTATGTTCTTGATAGTTTGGAGCCAATTTTGCTCCCTCATATCTAAAATATTTTTGATAGGTTTTAGGAGTCCTATTTTCTCCCAGAATTGCATGGCTTTGGTGCATTCCAGGAGTATGTGTTTATCAGTTTCCATTAAGCCACATATAGTGCATAGTGGGCTGATGTTGATACCTATGGAATGTAGATATTTGCTTGTTGGCAATCTTCCATAATTGCAAGTCCAAAGAAAAAACTTTATTTTGTTTGGGCATGTTAGTTTCCATATCCAGGCGAAGTCCTTTTGGTGAACCTCTTTTTTGTTGTATTTCTTTTTAATATGATGATATGCAGAAGAGGTACTAAAGTGTCCTTTTGGGTCTAAGGACCAAGAAGCCTTATCCAAAGGATTTGGTATGTTAGGAATGTGGATTAATTTTATCCTATCTATGATATTGGATGGTATTTGATAAGGTATTTCTTCCATTTTCCATTGTCCTTCCTTTAGAATGCTACTAACCATTCTATTTTCTTCTTTGTGTGGTAGGGGTCCACTTATCAGTGTTCTGAGTGCTGGAGTGTTTGGTATCCAGGGATCTAACCAAAAACTAGTTAATTTGCCATTCCCTAGTATCCAAGTAATGTTTTCTTTGCATTCGTTCCATCATAGCTTAACATTCCTCCATATTTGGCTGCTATGTTTTCTATGTTCGGTGCCATTTCTAAGCCCCGTTTTTCCAGTGTAAATGTATAGCATAGTTTGGGCCCAGAGTGTAGTTGGTTCCTTAAAGATTCTCCACGCCATTTTAGCATGAAGTGCCACGTTTTTTATTGCACATTTCTGTAGTCCTAGTCCTCCTATATTTTCCCCATTGTAATTTGGTCCCACCGGACAAGGTGCAATTATTTTTTGTATTTGTGGTTCTCCAAATGAAGTTTCTTTGGATTTGATCCACCCTGTTGGAGATGCTACTTGGTAGTTTAAGGATCTGCATTACATAAGTTGGGACGTTGTTTAGGGAGGATTTAGCTAGGGTGGTTCGTCCAGCTATATTTAACCACTTTGTTTTCCAGCTTGCAAGCTTTGTTTGCATATTATCTATAATAAATTGAAAGTCTTGTTTTGTAGGTCTCTTATGGAAGATGGGAAACCCCAGGTATTTCCGAAAGCTTTTACTTTTAGGGATACCCATAGTATCGGTTATTCCCTGGATAGTGTGCGTTTTGCAGTTCCTAGAGAACAAGATTTTTGATTTCTTTAAATTAATGCTCTGTCCACTATATTTGCAGAATTTGGACAGTGCATCTTTAATGGAGTGACAGGTGTCCGCTTTCCCAGTAAGGACAAGGTCATCCGCAAAAAATAGGTGGGACAGAGTCGGTCCTTTTCCTGCGATCCGTACTGGTTTCCATTCCTTTTGACCTACTTTCCTATCTATCATCCTTGAAAGTACTTCCATACATAGTATAAAGATGTAAAGTGACATCGGGTCCCCCTGTCTAATTCCTCTTGACGGTTCAAAGTATTCTGTTCTAGAACCGTTAACTAAAATTGATGTTCTACTAGATGTGACACAAGACATAATGATATTGATTAGACGTTCGAGGAACTTAAAATAATGCAGAGTATATTTAATAAAAGACCATTCTAGTTTATCGAAGGCCTTTTCTAGGTCTATTTTCATTATCATATTTACCTTGTTTCTCCTTCATTTTCCCAAAATGGTTTATGATTTCCTGGACTATAATAACATTATCACTTGCTTGCCTATTCTTTAGGAAGCTAGATTGGCAAGGGCCTATGATTTGGTTTAGAATTGGTTTGATTCTATTTACTATGATTTTAGTTACTATCTTATAAGTATTACATAGGCTTATATGTCGAAAGTTTTTTAGACTTGTAGCATTGTTACATTTCGGTATCAAGCATGCATACATTTGTGTATTTATTTTTGGATCAATACGTTCTTCTTCCCACACTTTAGTACAAAATTTTGCTATTGAGGGTCCTACTATGTCCCAATATTTTTGGTAAAAGAAAGGGTGGATCACATCCAGTCCAGAGGCCTTGTACGGTTTGAAGGAATAAATAGACTCTCTAATCTCTCTCTCATTTGGACTCTTGCTCATGTAGCTAAGATCAGTCTGTATTGTATCCCTAACGTTAGTAGTGTAATTCCTATTAGAAAAGCTATGTCCCGTTGAAAATAGTTTCCCAAAATAGGAGGTTGTGTAATCTACAATGTTTTGTTGGTCATATAGCCAGGTGCCATCTTCCTTTTGTAGTGCTAGAATTTTATTTCTTCTTCTACGATTTAGGGTTGTTGTATGAAAAAACTTCATGTTTGCATCTCCCTCGTTTAACCAGTTAATCCTTGACCTTAGTTCCCAGTATTCCTCTTCTCTTTTTAATAGGTAATTGTAGTACTTTATTAGATCATGTTCTAAGTTTACTAAGAAGGTATTGCCAGGATAGTTCGGGGAGGTTTGTATTCCTTGTAGGCGTTTTAGAAGTCTTTTATTTTTATAGAAAGTGTCTCCAAATGTAATCCTCTTCCACTTTGTGGATTCAGTTTCAAAACAAGTTATAGCCTCTAATAGATTTTCTTTATTAAACCAAGCTAGGTTCACTATGTTGGTAAACTCTGGGTGTGAGGTCCATATTGTTTCTAACCTGAAAGGCTTGGGTTTAGTATTATTGAAATGTTTTTCTAGTGATATAAGTAAAGGGCAGTGATCGGAATGTGTTCTGGGAAGGTGTTGGACATGAGCGTTTGGGTAGCTTAATAGTCATTCGCTCGTTACTAAGATCCTGTCCAGTCTTTCATAGATGAGGGATGTCTTTGTTTTGAATCTCTTGTTCATCCAAGTGAAACGACTACCCTTGAACCCCATATCGATTAGTTCGCAACAATTTATGGTGTCTTGGAAGTCCCTTACTCTTGAAGGGTTGAGTGGGCTCCCTCTTTTTTTTTCCGAATCTAGTAGCAGTTCATTAAAATCTCCTCCTATAAGCCATCCTCCTTTGAAATTATGTTTTATATTTCGCATATTTTCCCATAGTACTTTACGCATATATCTAAAATTACTTGCATAAACAACACTAAATAACCAAAAAAATATTCATAGTATTTACCTTTATTATTGCATACACCTCTTGAGTAGTGGTGGCTATTTCATCCAGTTCCAAGGTTGCATCATCCCAAAGTACAACGATGCCTCCAGAGTTCCCGATTGCGGGGACCTCGATCATTCTTGTAAATGGAAAGTCCTCTAGGAGTGTTTTGTGGTTTTCCATTTTACTTTCTAAGAGGGCCACTAACAGTGGTTTATGTCAGTCTAGGAGTGATCGAAAGTTCCTCCTAAAGTCTGGCCCATTTGCACCCCTACAGTTCCATATTATTATATTCATGGATCCGTTCAAGTTGGGTGGCACCAGTAATGGCATGTTACTCCTGGATTCCATCGGTTCTTCCGGTGCTCTCATTAGAGGATTCATGACTAACACATAGTTCCCTAGGTGTGAGTTTATTGGAGGTCTTATATCCAATGAGCTTTTTAAGATATTCGGGTGACATATTAATATTAGTTTCTTTTCGAATCTTTATTTGAATACCATTATTTTTATCTCTTTTAGCACTGATATTTCCGTTCTTGTTTCTCTCATTAAACCTATGACTTCTTCCATCTCTTCCGAGTTCTGATATTGCATCTGTGCTAATGGAGGTATTGAGGTAGGGGTTGGTACATGTGATGCTGATGCTACATTGTTGGGATCCTGAGTGGAGCTTTCCATTGATCCTGTTGGTACTAACACTGGTGGAGGGCCCCCCTGTTGATATAGGTGCATAGGGTTGAACAATGGAGTCATGCCCGATATTGGGATCATTTGTGGTAGGAAAGACATTTCTGCCGGGTATTGATTCATAGTTTGAGGTATTGGTGTCTCCCAAGTCGGGATATGAAAGACCAGGTTCATAGGGTACTGGTAGTGTAGTAGGTTCTGGGGATTCTGGTAGACAGACGCTATCCATACACTTGTGTTGTATGTCTCAATTGCAACCCTCATGCCTTCCCCCACCACTTGGGCAAGGAAGGTTGGGTTCTGGACTACTATGGCTATTTCCCTCCCTTCGATTACCACATTGAAGAAAAGGGCATGGCCATGTAGACTCAACTCCAACCACGACATCGGCACTACATTTGGAGACGGCGTTGGGGTTGCATATATTGGGGTATTGTTCAATGGGTGGTTCAGGTTGGCATTGGGGTAATCCTCTTGTTCGTTGTTGTTCATAGTTTGGAATCTGGTTTGGAAGTGAGTTTGGAGTGTTTGGCGTATGGAAGATTGGCGTCTCGTTTGGGAGTTGAAGGGAAGTCTGGGCATTATACTTAGGAAAAGGTAATTCAGGAGTTATGGGGTCTATCGGAATATTCACTATATTTAAAGGTGTGGAGTTATTACTAATTGAGGTAGTTAATATAGAGGTGTTTAAAGTTTTTATGGTAGTACTAGGAATATCTGTATTGTTTAAAGTATTTGCTAACACCTTTTTGGCTCCTACAGTCGATAGCTTACCCCTAGTGATATCTTTTTTATCCTCCTCGGTTTTGGGTAATCCAGTTGGAGCACAACTGTTTGAGTGAACGTTTCCAAATTTATCCACGTGTTCGAAGATCATTTGATCTGTCGATGTGGTTGATGTGTAGGATTTGAGGTGGAAAGGCTTCTCGTTCACGTTTTCGCTATATGTGGTTGGGGTTTCTCTAGGGGTATAGTTCATTAAATGCGGGGGGTAGGGGGTAATTAGGGGTTAGTGTAGGCTTTTTGTGCGTAGGGGTCAAGTTTGGGACCCTACTTTTACTTGCCGCCTTAGTGTCTTTAGGATTAGAATTTGCAAATTCATTAATTATGACGTCATTCATAACGTCGTCACCTTCATCTTTGTGATTGTTGCATTCATGATCATTTCCAGTCATAGAAGTACTCTGTTTACTTGCTAGAGGTGATTGAATAATGTTGTTGTTGCTACTCTTTTCTTCTAGCTTAGTGACCGAGGAGTCAGATGCTAATTTACTCTTGTATTTAAAAAGTTGGGATTCAAGGTACTTACCTGTCTTGGCGTCAAATAATTTGACTGGGATGCCCGCTTTCGAATGGTTTTTTTGACTATTGTCCGCTTTCCTCTCCTTGGTGTTGGGCCTGTTAGCTCCACTATGTTGCGCTGGCGTTCTTTTAAAGGTGACTATTTGCCACTGCTCTTCTTGGACCTCCGATGTCCTGTTATCTACCTCAATTCTCGACGTCGTGATTTTGTTCGATGCCTCATCTTGTGTTTTTACTTCATTTTGTCCTTTCCTTTTTGCAAACCCGCACGACAGTTGCGTGTGACCTATTCTCCCACATTTGAGGCAGAGTATTCCTTCTCCCTCATATATAATATTCTGCTTTAAGTATATGGGTTTCGACTGGATTTTCCACTGGTACCTCTATACATATTATTGCGTATCTTCCTCTAAGTGTTGACGAGGTACACACATCGGTTTTTACTAGTTTACCTAGTATGTTCCCAATCTTGGCCAGTATTTTGTGGTCATAGTATTCTGTTGGTAGCCCGGGTAATCTTAACCATATTGAGGTGCAAATTTCCATTGCTTCGGAAGCCACGAAATTCGGTTGTCATCTTTTAACGGAGAGGTAGTATCCGTTTATGAACGATGGACCACTTTGCAAAGCCTTGTTCATATTTTCTTCCTTAAGGAATTTGACCGTATAGTAATCGTAGCCCAGGTCGATTAGAAAAATTTCCTCTGTGGTTTTCCATGTAGCTATTAGTTGGTTTCTTAGATAATGATGTGTGATTCTTTTTCCCAATAACTTAATTATAACTAAGTATGCCCATGGTTTGTATATTCTAATTTTATCCTCTTCAGATAAACGAATACCATCTTTGTCAGTGTATTTCGTGTAATCCATAGTGTTCTCAGTGTATTGTGGATACTCTGTTTCCCCAATATTGTTTGTGCATGACTGGGTTTCAGGGAAGGTAATTGGGTTGATTTTCCCGAGTTGCTTATTATGTGGGACTGGAGAACTAAGTGCCTCTTTGAAAGAGATTGTTGTAGGTGAATTGTCTGTAGTATGTTTTGTATCAATTTCCATAACTTCAGCGGGGGGTTTTGGTGGCTGGGGTAGCTTTTCAATGGAAATACTCATTTCTATCTTATTTTCCTAGAGAGTGGAGAGAGCTTTTCTCTTGTCTTACAAGTTATTCTTTCTTTACAAAATCATACAACAAATCATATACAATACTAAAAGAACCTAGAGAAAAAAAGGAGATATTTTTCTAAAAATGGGCATTATTGGAAATTTGGAATATAGATGAGGTGACATACCAAATTTAATAAAAAAATAGAGATAATTTAGACGGATTTGGAATCAAAATTCACAAACTTAAGTTCTCCTTGCATTCAGAGTACTTCAGTTATGATTCAACAAACTCAAGTTCAATTCAAATATTTAGTTCAAGCATCTCAAGATATTGTCTCAATAAACTTATTCAGTTGTTTTAGAGGCTTCATTAGACATAGTCATTCCATTTCTAATATTCACAACTTTCACATTATTATAGTAGCAAGTCTTAGAACATACCAAATTAAGAATTCGCTTGGGACCAACCGTAATTTCGAGTGCCACACGTCCAAGATGTAGACTTGGAGCATGACACCCAATCTATTCCAACAAAATCCATTTAAAATAAATTCTAATTTTAGAAATCCAAAATTTTAAATTCAAGCTTAAGGTAACTTCGTAGAGTTTTAGCTCATATTCTTCCCTAGTCAACTATTTTGCTCAGCTATTGTATCAAAATACTCACATTTAGAGTTTTGGCCAAAAAAACATTCCTTAACTATACTCTATGTTTAAACCACATCCTTGCACTACCACAATAAACGAAAAACATCCTTCAATTATCTTAAAAATGACAAGATTCATCCTTCAATTAGTTTTTGTTAAAAAACTAATGATTGATCAACCCAGAAATCTCTCATTTTGTTTGCTCCCATTCTTCTCTTAGCTTATAATTAGTAATAGACAATCCTAACTAAACTGAATGAGCTAGGAAGAGAGATTTTTATCCTCAACTTCACAGTAACAGCCACGATGTTCCCGTAAAAAATTAGTAAAATATTTCGAGTAAACTATCTTTTGCCCTATATAAATTGCTGATCAGATAAGCAACAGAATATTATAAGAAAAAGAAATGTATAATTTTCTCTTTATTTCCTAGACAAATGAGGAAATTTGAAGTATGAAGGTAGTCTATTTTATTTTATTTTTTGTGTAAATTTGATAAACACTAGTGGCTGTATTTTAAAAAATATAAATGTAACATATTTAGATATTACATAAAAAAATACTTTTTTTGTTCCAATTTATGTGACGCTTTTCACTTCTTAAGATTCTAATTATGTGAACTTTTTATTAATATTTTATTACGTATTTTTCATCATATTCATGAGAAGAAATTGCAACTTTAATATGTGAAAAATGTCACATGTTTATCCATAGTTAATTCTAGCTTCATTTACATAAAAGGAAATGAATTTAACCGTTAGTTTCTATCAAGAAAAAAAAAATGAAAGGGTGAATCAAACCATTTTTAGGATAGTTAAGGGATGTTTTTTGGTCACTATGGTAGTAGAGGGATGCCATTTAAATTTAGAGTATATTTGAGGGATGTTTTTAGCCAAAAACTCCTCACATTTATGATGTCTCTTGTATCACTGTTTTTTTGTACTTGAGTTTCTATCATTAACTTGCCAATTTTTCTCTCATTTATCACATTTGTCAATATAATAATTCAACATCGCTTACGTCATATTTAAAACTATAAAACTCAAAAGAATATTTTGACACATTACACATTTTTATGTTTACAAGATTAAAATAAAATTTCTATGATTTTAAACTTCATATCCAGTAAAATTAAGACGCGCGGAATTTTGGGGTAGAAATTAGTTATAGCATTGGTTGCATGATGTCATAATCATAAACTTGAGTCTTGAAGTTGTATGAGATCCATCATGTAAATACTATCATAAATTTTGGCTTATATAATATGGTATACAAAATTGGCCACACACGAATAAGTATGCATAAGCATTCAAACGTTCAGCTCATACCTATGCTCTCACTTGCAACATCATATATAACATCTCCGATGAGCACCATAACCATCCCGGCCTGATCAATGACAATTATCGGAATGTGCCTGACGCGTTTATCTAACAAGTGACATGCATGTGTTAGAAAAATAGAAAGATAGATTTGAAGTGTGAAATATCATTGTCGTTGAAGAAATATCAGATGCATACTGATTTGGAGAAAGCAGAAAAGTTTCTTCAAGATATGATGAAGAAAATGGATAAGTCACTTTCAAGGAAGGAGTAATTTCTAGAGGTTGAGCAGCCTATTTAGCAAAGGTAACAAAGATCATTGGCAATTAAGTTGGTTCATGGAAACAAAAAAAAGATAGATAAATCACCAGAATGATAGTCAAAATGAACCCATCAATTGGGATACCCAATTTCTGCATTTCTTGAAAAAGAGAAAGGACAGTAGAGTAATGTTTCATACTTATCATTATCTTAAATAATTTAGAGAAGTCGACAACAGAAGGAAGAGGCTTCATTCTAACCATTTGATGGAAGAGAGTAACAGCATCATCTAAATTGCTACCATTTACAACACCAATTACTGAAATGGATTGATTACTGTAATGGCATGAAGGAAAACTTCTTACTGTAATTGCCGGAGCAGAATTAGAAGAGATAAAGGGAATACCGTTTCCATTTCACCTCACCCCAATACTTTTTTGACTCAAGAACATTATGTAAAAGAAATTGCTTAGATATGGAACTGCAAGCAGAAAACTGCCAGGCTCTCTCCCCATGAATTTAGGAAATCATTACTTGGCCCCAAAAGTAAGAAGAATGGGAAATCCTTGAAAGGCATCCAAGTTTTGTCTTAGGAATTGAAAATTAACCCTCATTTTCCAATTGTTTAGCATGTCCTTCTGTATAAGAAAACCATCTACTTTCTTATAGTACAAGAATAGAGATGTGAAAAAGAGGAGACGTTATAATCACCTGCACGTATTGTAGTACATTGTATTTCTCAGTTGGTCAATTTCAGTGATACCTTTAGTGCCTGCAACAACTTCCAGCACTTGCCTGGGAAGAAGGGAGTTGATATTTTTCAAGAAATAAAGATCAAACTATAGATACAGAGAATCATATGCAGAAAGAAGTACTACTATATTGGCGCGGCATAAATAGTGGAAGATATCCCACAACAGAGAATATTATATACTACCTTTGTTTCAATTTGTTTGCCTTACTTTCCTTTTTAATCAATTTCAAAAATGTTTCTTTCGCTTATTAGCAACTCTTTAATTCTAACCTTCTATCGGGCATGTTTAAGACCACAAGATTAAAAGGCATTTTGGTACATACAAAATATCTTTAGTTTAAGACCACAAGATTCAAAAGTCTTCTTAACCAAACAAACAAATTGAAACAACGGGAGTAATTCCTTTAGACCTTCACTCAAAAGCATATAGAGAGAACTGAAAATATCCAGAAAAAAAAAAAAGGGTAAGCTGGTATTTTGCTTTTGTTCATGGGATGAAAAAGGGAAAGGGAAAAAAATTACCAAAGAATACATCAGACTCAACTCTAAATTTAAACTCAAACCCTACAACCCCCAACCACACCTTATTGTTAAAGCAAACAACCATTTATTCTAATAACTAGTAGGACTAGAAAGTTCAAAATAGGCCCAACAATATTAGACGCGTTTGTGTTGGCAGATAATATATAGAAAGACAAATTTCAAGAAAGCTCAAGTATCCCCGATGAATAGATAGCTTCTTTCACAAGATTAACACTTTCCACACATAATCTTTGGATTTTAAATTTATTTATTTATTTGGACCGTGGCACTTGCCAATTTGAACTTCAGCGGGAATGTGTTGTAAGGATACTTCTTCTAGCTTCTCTGCTTCCATCCACATTTCAGATATTCTCCTTTTACAGCTCTACTTAGAATGAGTTTTCCAAGTCTGTATCTTTTCCCAACTCTAAAATTACTTTTTTGATTACACAAGTATTGAAAGTAATTCTTTAACATATAAAAGTGTATTTAATGGATAAAAGAAGGGGAAAGTACTACAGAACACTAATATTCTATAAAGAATATCAAATTTAGAAATATACGGAAGTTGTAGCTTTCATTTTTGATCAACTACAATCTCAGTAACACAGTTTGAATTGATGTCTATAAAAATGGAAAAGGAATCATTTAATTAGCAATAAGAATGCATCAACGATTTGAGGAAAAAAATGCATTCAGCCCATCACACTTGTTATCATCTATGCCTTTGATAGCCATGATTTTTTCTTTTAAACTGGTAATGTTAATGTCTTTCATAGCCAAGTGCACTTCCTCTCTAGTGATTGGAGTAATTAGAGCTAGTTGTTGACTTCTATTAAGAGTAAATCTTTCTGACATCACCCTTGGATCAATATCAGGTAGCGCATTAGCAGCAGATCCCAATAGCTTCTTCCTGACAACAATGATTTTCCTATCAACATCAGAAAACTCCTGAATTTAGCTTCTTCAATTCATTCTTGATATTCTTAAGCTTCCACCAGGTCATGTGCATAGAGTGACCTTGTACACGGGGGTGTATCTAGGAAGGTTCCTGGGTTCACGTGAACCCATGCTCCCCTCCGCAGATCATTTACAGTAGTGTTATATTTTTAAAAAACTACTTAAACATCAAACTGGTCAAATTTATACCATAGATCCACCATTTCATAATAGTGCACACATCCTCTTGAAATCCTGGACACGCCTCTGCATTGTACAAGTATACTCTAGGTAAGTTCAACTATCTTCAAGAACTCCTTGTATTCAGCCAAACTGTTAATGAATTTAAAAGGCCTTCTTCACCCTGAACAGAGGAACCATATAATCCGCCCCACAACCTCATAAAGCCAAACCCTCCCGGCCCCACATAGGGCAAAATCCGCCCCGTCCCGGTTCCATCCCTACCCCAGATGATACATATTCTTCCTCTATTACCAGAGTTATTACACCATCCCAGTCCAGCAACCTTCTTTATAATTCTGACATCATGCTGTTCCGTTACTCTATGCTCAATAATAGCTTACATGCTAAATTTTCTCCCTAAGAAACACCTTTAACGCCTTGTGCTTACTCACTTTATTAGCCTGGGGGTGGTAAAATGAACCCAACTCACCCGATGTTTCTAGTAGCTACGAGTTGGGTCATGACCTACTAGTTGAGTTGACTCAGCGGGTTGAACCCAAAATGATCCATCAAACAATCGGGACAGATCGTGTAATCCGCGGTGGGTAAAAATGTAATCCAACCCAAACAAGCAAGGGATATTATTATGATTTCCTATTTGGATAGAAATTCTATCAAAACTCAAGTATATTACAAGAAAATAAGGTTGAGGAATGGTCACCAAGCTGGATTTATCAATTATGGGGCAACAGATGGGTTGCATGGGGTGAGCTGAAATCCAATGGCAAAAGTGGTGGCATTCTAATACTTTGGGGAAAAAAACAATGGACAGTCAAGAGAAATTCATTGGGGCAGTTACACCATTTCATGTTTGATGGAGAGTACAAGAGGAGTTCAGATGGGGTTTCATAGGTGTCTGCGGACCTCACAACAATCCAGAAAGAGAGCTATTGTCCTATGAACTTGCAGCAGTAAGGGATTTATGGAATGATTGGTGGGTAGTTGGAGATGACTTTAATGTTTACAGATACAAGAGTGAAAAAAAACAACGGTAGTAGAAGATCCAGCGCAATGAACAACTTCAGTGAATTCATTCTTAATCTGGGAATTATTGATTTATCTTTACTAAGGGAAAACTTCTCTTGGTTCAGGGGTGAAGACTCTCTGCAAGCCTCTAGAATAGACAGATTTCTAATCTCCCCGGAGTGGAATGATACTTTCGACTTAATGAAGTTACCAGAAAGAAGTATTACATTCAATACTTATGCATTTTAATATTTGAATACTTTCCTGAAATATCAATTATAGAAATAAAAATAGTGAAATAAGGTAATGAGAAGTTGTTTTGCTTTCTACAGCAAATGTTAATCAATGTATTACGTTAATTGCCAAAACTGTGATTTGTTTAGAAAGAGGGGAGAGGTTGGGTTATAACCCATTGTTTGACCCAGTAAAAATATAGGAAGTGGTTTACCTTTTCAATAAGCCTGCCTGCAAATCCCAAGCGATGTTCTAATTGGCTTATCTGCTTCCACAACTGCATTAGAAAGCATTTCTTTTGCAGTGCTAAAAGGAAATTGTATCACAATGATAGTGTAGCCGAATAAATCAGGCGAAAGAAATATTCACTTCATAATTTTTGAGTGAAGCTCTAGTATCATGTCAAGGACGGACGGACTCTCCCTTAGAACGTTTACCAATAACCCAGTTGTAGTTGCATCAAATGAGAAACCCCTACCCGTCATTTCCTTCATAAAAGTTGTCATTTCAGTAATTTTGCTACACCTGAGAAATCCCCGCACAAGGACATTGTAAGTGAAGATATTTGGCATATAACCATTCTCCTCCATTTTTCTTAGCATATCATTAGCTTCATCTAACAACCCTTCAAGACATAATCCATGTATCATTATATTGTATGTTCTCGCATTCGGAAGCAATCCAATTAAAGAAAGCTTCTCAAAAATAGCACGAGCTTCATTGAGTTTACCATTATTGCCCAAGCCACCAATGACAACATTGTAAAGTTCAATATCAGTATTTTCTCTCTTTCCTTCCAGCTTATTAAAGAGCGACAAAGCTTCTTCAACAAGTCCATACTTAAAATAACCATTGAGCACAATGCCATGAGTGTAAAAATCAGGTATGAACCCTGCAGATAGCATCTCAGCAAAGAATTGTTTTGCATGGCCTATTCTTCCAACTTTAAAAAGACCTTGCAAGATAGTATTGTAGGTAACGACATTAGGTTTTGATCCCTTTTGAGAAATTTCACAAAACAATTGCATAGCATCATTCACTTCCTTTTTCATACAGTACCCATTTATTAGTATGTTATAGCTAATAATGTTAGGCTCAATGCCCTTATCAATCATGATATTGAAAATTCTCCTCGCTCTATCGACTTGACCACGCAAACAATATCCATCCATTATCGCATTGTATGTGATTATATCAGGCTCTACACCTTTTCTGACCATGTGTTTCATTACTTCCTCGGCATCTTCAACTTTTCCTTCTTTGCATAGTCCATCTATTAGTATATTGAAGATGCGCACATCTGGATAAATATTAAGGTTCACCATCTCAGAGAACCAAGTTTTAACCTTTTCCCACTGACCGAGCTTACACAAACCATTAATGAATGAATTATACGTTAATATGTCTGGATGAATGTCTTTCTGCTTCATCTCGTTCAGAATGTTGATAGCAGCATCTAAGTTTCCATCTTTGCAAAGAGCATCTATAACAATGTTGTAGATGTATATGTCGGGCTCAGTGTTACCTTGTTCCATTAACCGGAGCAAACCTAATGTTTTTTGAGTATGACCGCTTTTGCTGAGCCCATTCATTACAGTTGCATACATGAAGTCATTGGGTTCACAGATATCCTCTCTCACCAATTTTTTGAACTAATTCTAACAGCATCTTTGACCTTATTTTCACTAAAGAGTCCCCTTAGTAAGGTGTTAAAGGTGACAACATCAAATGGAATGCCTTTCTTCAAGTAAATGGGTAACACCGAAAATGCACAATCAACACGATACATCAGGCAATAACTATTAATCATGATATTTAAGATGAAATCACTAATTGGGATGCCCAATTTCAGCATTTGTCGAAAAAGAGAAAGGGCAGCAGAGTAATGTTTCATACTTATCATAGTCTTAAACAATTTAGAGAAATCGACAACTGAAGGAAGAGGCTTCATTCTAACCATTTGAAGGAAGAGAGTAACAGCATCATCTAAATTGCTACTATTTACACCAATTTTATCCTTTACTGGAATAGATTCATTACTGCAATGGCATGAAGAACAAGTTCTTACAGTAATTGCTGAATCAGCAAAGAAAGAGATAAAGGGAATACCATTGCCATTGCCATTTCGCAGAGAAATTCTCCTCATCTTCTTCAGCGGCCTATGTGGGTGTGTGGGCGAAGGATATTAGAAAAATGACCTAATATATATACTCCGTCCACTTTTAATTGTCATAGTTTTCGTAAAAAAATTGCAATTTATAATAATTTTTGTATAATTTTTTAATATCTAAATATTTTGTTTAAAATATCAAATTAATAATCTAATTTAACTTTGAAAATTAGTCAAATTGATTTTTCAAAAGTGAACGAAGTAATAAATATGATATTTATTTGATTTTAGTTGGTAAATATGATATTTAACTTTGCCAATGCACATGAGAAATTCTAACTATTTAAAACTTGAATAAATACACATTTGAATATTGCAGGTTATATGCTTGATATATAAACGCTCCTACATGAATTAGTAAGGCTACATGAAATTTTATGTGTATTATATCACATAAAATATGTGTGTTTACTTGTTTAATATTATACAAGTTAAAATATTTATTTATGTTTATTCAAAATCAAAAGGCATAGATGTTAGTCAAAACCAAGTTAAAAAACATTTTATGCATTGTCTTTCCATTTTATTTCAAATTAAAAAGTGGTGTTTTGTCTTTAATTAAATAAATGAATTTTATATAATCAAGAAACTACTTCTTCCGTTTCAAAATAAGTGATATAGAAAGAATTAATATTGCTCTGCCAATTTTTATTTTTATTTAAATAAAGAGAGTTTTACATAAACAAGAAACTATTAAGGAGCTATATTTTTTCAATGTATTTATTAAGAATAATTAGTAAAAACACTCTTCTTCTTTTTCAAAACTGAGTAGTTTACTCAGACGAGTTCCAACTCACCTCTATTGTACACCCATTCTCTATATTTGAAGAGTAAAATAGAGAATGGGCTCTCCAACTAGACTTTAATTCACTCTCTATTCTCCATTTATATAGAGATGAATAACAGTTCTTCAAATTTAGAGAACTACTATTCACACTCTCTATTTTATTTTTTTGATAATTTTATTATTTCTATTATTTTGTAATTAACATATTATTTTTCATACAAGACCATTAATTAAATCTCTAATATTCATAATTCTTTTTTAAATGTAATATTACATTTTAAAAAAATATATTATTTAATATTTGCTACTTTCATCCCGAATTAATATTATTCCAAATTAAATTTTCGTCACTTTTATATAATTTGATATTAATATTATTAATTTTCACTATGAAAAATGCACAAAATTAAAATGATAAGATGAAAATTAATTTAAAAATACAATACGTAACATAATAATTTAAATAGAAGATAACAATATGACATGTAACACAATAATTTTATCACAACAATTTTGCTTGCAATTTATATCTATTAATTTGTATATTATATAATATTTGCTTGCAATTTATGTTAATTGGAAATTTAGAATAATATATAATTTTATATTAAATAGAGAATTCAAAAAAAATTATATTACATTAAAATTATATAAATTGATTATTTGGAGAGAAAAAATTTATATAAAGAAATAAGAAAATAAGAATGAAATAGAAATAATAATATAATATTGAGTAGAGAGAATAAAAATAAAGAACTCTATATTTGATGGGTAAAATAATGATAGGGTTGAAGATGCCTTAAATAAGGGGTGTGTACAAAACTTAGAACACCACTTAATTTGAAATGAAGAGAGTAATAAAGAACTATATCTTTTTCAAGGTATATTTGTTATATAGATAGATTCGTAAAAATATATTTTACTTTTTCAAAACAAATAATTTTCAAATTCATGTTCAAACACCTACAAAAGCATAATTTCAAATTCATGTTCAAAACACCTACTTATAGCAACAGTTGCCATATATTTTACAACAAGTATGCTGAAAAATCAATCTCTTGCTAACACAATTTTGCAAAATAGCAAATTAGAGGTTATTACATGAAACTTCTAACAATATAATATATAAAGAAGCATGTTCGATTTCATCATTAGCTTCATTATAAATAACTATAAGAAAATAATGCATTGTTGTTGTTGTCAAGAGTGGACCTAGAAGTCCTGATATAAGTTCAACCGAATCCAATAACTTTTGCTCAACTTTAAATATGTGTTTTCTTCATTGAACAGAATGCATTTATCTTAAAAAATTAAAACCAACATAATTCTCATCCTAAAAAGTTGCGTTTTGTTTGTTTCTCATACACTATGAAAGACTAGCAGAGTGCAGCAACTTCATAGATCTTCCCTACCACTAGCAAGAAGGGCTTCTGCTGCCGAATCCAAATCATGTGGAAAGAAAACCCTGAAAACGATCACGGTCACGTGAATGAGCTCAAATCTTCATGAGTGACTCAAGAACATTACAACAACAACAAACCCAGTATTATAGAATCCCACATGGGGAGTAGAGTGCACTCAGACTTTACCCCTACCTTGAGAAGGTAGAGAGGTTGTTTTTTATAGACCCTCGACTCAAAGAATGTTAAAAAAGAAAAGTAATAAGAAAACGAAGGCTAAAGGAACATGCAGTAATAGAAATCTTAAAATAACAAGAAATAAGAATAATACTACTCAAGTGAAAGGAAAAGAAATACGTCTGACTACCTTACTAACACTCTACCCTAATTCTCGACCTCCACACCCTCCTATCAATTATCATATCCTCGTATAGCTAAATTGCACCATATCTTGCCTAATCACTTCATCCCAATACTTTTTTGACTCAAGAACATTATGTAAAAGAAATTGCTTAGACATGGAAGTGCAAGCAGAAAACTGCCAGGCTCTCTCCCCAGGAATCAATAATTTCTGAGATGCCTAAAAAGAACCAAAAACTTGGGTTACTGAGATAATCCCAAAATTTTGGTTTACTGAGATAATCCCTTGGCTAAAAAGAACCAAAAACTTGGGTTACTGAGATAATCCCAAAATTTTGGTTTACTGAGATAATCCCTTGGCTAAAAAGAACCAAAATTTTCAAATCCTACTATAAGAAAGCATTCTTGGCACCAAAAGTAAGAAGAATGGGAATACCTTGAAAGGCGTCCAAGTAGTGTCTTAGGAAATGAAAATTAACCCTCATTTTCCAATTGTTTAGCATGTCTTTAGTATAAGAAACCCATCTATTTTCTTGCCGTACAAGTATAGAGATGTGAAAAAGAGGAGACATTATAATCACCTGCATGTATTATGGTACAGTGTCTGGCTCAGTTGGTCTATGTCAGTGATACCTTTAGTGCCTGCAACAACTTCAAGCACTTGCCTGGGAAGAAGGGAGTTGATATTTTTCAAGAAATCAAGATCAAACTCGAGATACAGAGAATCATATGCAGCTAGTAGTACTGCTATATTGCCAAGGCACAAGTAATGGGAAAATATCTCACAACAGACACAATCTAGAGAGAACTAAAAGCATCCGGAACAAAGTAAAAGGGGGATAAGCTGGTACTTCGCTTTTATTCATGGGATGATAAAGGAATTACCAAAGAATGCATCAGACTTGTCTCTAAGTTCAAATTCAAACCCTACAACCCCAAACCACACCTCATTGTTGAAGCAAACAACCACTTATTCTAGTAACTAGTAAGACCAGAAAGTTCGAAATAGGCCCGACAATATTGGAAGCACTCGTGTTGACAGATCATAAATAGAAAGACAAATTTCAAGAAAGCTCAAGTCCCAGATCGAATAGTTAACACTTTTCACACATAATCTTTGAGTTTTCTCTCTTTTTGTATATTTTTTTATTTTATTTTTTTGGTTTTTAGTTTATTTATTTTTGGACTGTGGCACTTGCCAATTTGAAGTTCAGAGGGAATGTGTTGCAAGGATAGTTCTTCTACCCCTTCTCTGCTTCCATCCACATCTCAGATATTCTCCTTTCCAGCTCTACTTAGAATGAGTTTGTCCAAGTTCGTATCCTTTCCCGACTCTAAAATTACTTTTTTGATTAAATAAGTATTGAAAGTAAATCTTTAATATATAAAAGTGTATTTAAGGGATAAAAGAAGGAAAGATACAGAACACTGGTATCCTATAAAGAATATCTAATTTAGAAATACATGGAAGTTGACAAGTAGTAGCTTTCATGTTCAATCAACTTCAATCTCAGGAACAAAATTCGAATTGATGTTTATTAGAAATGGAAAAAGAATCATATAACTAGCAATAAGAATGCTATGACACTCACCGAACTAAGCAAGGCTCATTGCGACCTTTGACAAGGCATTCTTGATCATGCTTATCCTTTTTCTTTGAAGGCCATGAGGATTTCACATACCTTATCCCAGCATGTGTATTCTTAATATCACAGTATGGTGAATCTGTTTCAATCATCATTCGCTCAACAGGTATACCCTTCACAACTTCAAGGTTCTCAGCTGTCTTGAGAGAGCAACCATTTATTCCTAATATAAGTTGTTCAAATCAAGAGACATAAACAGATCTAAGTAAATCAGGGTCGAGCAATTTAAGTATCTAATGGAAAACACATGAGCATGACAGCTTCTAAATTGAAAAGATAGAATACAATGAACCGGAGATTTCACCTATAAGAACATTACTAAATGAAAGAAGTTTATCACAATCTTCAGCACTTCCAGTGAAAGAGTGTGCAACGCCAGCAACAAACCTGTTCAACACAACTGGTTTATCAGAATGCCATTTATACCAGTGTTGTCAAAGGCATGCTTAAGCCCTGAAGCAGGGCCAAAACGTATTGAGCGCTTCACGTCGCTTAATGTGCGCTTCAGTGTCATTCATGCTTATAATTATTAGTCTTGAACTAAACATATAGTCTCCCTTTGCGCCTTTTTATAATCAATGCCCACACTTTATTTGCGGTTTACACTTAAAGCCCCAACAGACCTTAGGGCTTTTGATAGCACTGATTTATATAAAGCTGCAACAATGAATCAAATAAACTTGAACCATGATAATGTTGTTTAATATCACTTAATCAAACAAAACAAGACTATGGTACTATCTCCACTCCATAAGACAAATTATCCAGTCAAACAGCATTTGA